CCACCAATCAACCGGTCGTTCAAATCTCCTTCGAAATTAGTGACCAAAAACATGCACGTGACCTCTTCCTCAGATCCAGACCCCGCCACGGAGAACCCGATAGGTACACTAATCACACAATGAAGTCTCGATAAGAATCGATCCCGAACCGAACAGGGAACGGAGCGTATACTCTCCAAGCTACCCATCCGACAAACCCCCTTCGAGCAACTCCCATTGCGTAGCGCGTAAATCGGATCGATTTTTTCACGAAGCGAGAATGGACCGTTGACGTTTCTTTGCCAATTTTGCCAACTGTGTTTCTATGCGTCCCAGTGAACAGGAATCTCGTGCAATTGGAATTGGTCGAGAACTTAGACAACAGACGAAGTACAATGCGAGGATAATTGGGAATCGATGGCGAAAGGAAAATTTTAATTGGAAAGAGACATTGTTGCTTTTTATTTTCGCGGGGTTGGTCTAAGAATTAAATGGTCTCGTCATGAGTATTTCAAAATCACGTTGAAATAGATTAACTCGAGGAGAAGAAATTGGACCGAGTTAGTTCATTTTTGTCCGAGAGTAACATAAATGTATGTACATTCCCGCTCGAAAGTTCAAAGTACGTTAAAATTTCAAAAGAGATAACTTATTTTAAACGGATGTAAGTGGTTTATATTTTATTTATATATTAATTATATAATTATTTTATATATTAATATTAATTTGAAATATTAATATAAGTAGTTATATTAATATTTCAAATTAATATTAATATTTCAAATTAATATATATATACATATAAGTAGTTATATAAATATTATAATTGAAAGTAGTTATATAAATATTAATATATAAAGTGTCGAAATTTTTATTAATTACATTTGGAAATGAAACTTACAATTACTATGTACAAAGTACAAAGAAGTTTATTTCGTCTAAAAATCGAGGAGTGTTCCAACTTATTTAAAAACTTATTTAAAATAATTCTCGAACGAAACTCTGGGGAATTGGGTGAAAAATCTCGACGAGTTCCGTTGCGTGAAGTCTCTACGCTACATTACGCCTTCGATCAAAATAAAAGTCACGCACACGTATATATTACATGCGAGTCTCTAAACTTTTGTGTGTATACACCTGCTGGAGATGGTGCCTTCGAGAGAGCCCATGGTATGTATGCCACACAGTCCACGGTGCTCGAGTCAAAAGTCACGCCAACCCACTTATTTTCCTGTGTGATAAAAAAAATAAAAACAAAACTAAAAATCGAAAAACGTTCAGATTTGTCGCGAGTTTCCTCGTCGAATAAAAAATAATTCAATCGCCCGTAATAGTCGCCAATAATTTCACCTGTAATCAAATCGTTATTCTCGTACGAGAATAGAGAATATTGAATTAAAATCGCCAATAGGAATCTAAATTTTATCTACAAAGTTCGAAATATATATATATATATATATATATATATATATATATATATATAAATTAACAAGACGAAGTATTCGTGGAAGAACAGCCTCGTTGTCAGGAAAATATGCAGCATGGAAAACCATGTACGATCACATCGTGCATCGAGACCGAAACGAATCTATGAGAATCTACGAGAATCGCATCGTGATTTGACAAACTCAAACTTACGTCGCAATGTTTGAGATGTTTCAAATTGAGTCGAATTGGATCCGGTTAGTAACGATGGAAGTTAAAAAAACGCACATTCACTGCTTTCAACGTGTGCACTAATCAGACAAGACAAAGAAGCTCTCGATGTAAAGCACACAGAATCACGTGAGCCGTTTTAATGAGAATGTGAGTGGTTTTGCAAAGAGCATGCGAGTTTTTTAGTTATTCTGTAACTTTTTAAAAGATCTCTCATTTTCAAGGGACACGTTCATATCGTGCATAGGAATATGAGAAAGGAAAAAAATAAAAGTGGAATAGGAACGGGGAAATAAAGATGCAATGCTCTGTGCAAGAGTCATGGTTGCAACGTTTCTCTCGTTTTTCAATTAAAGTTCAGAAACGTCGAAAAAAAGAAATTATACATACGAGAGAGAGAGAGAGAGATAGAGAGAGAGAGTGAGAGAGGGAGAGGTGAATCGTCACATTGATAGCGATCGAAACGAAGCGAACGGCATTTATTTTGAACGGCACTCGGCTCGATTTTGACGATACGAAGCACTGGAAGACGGGCGATAGCATCGGGCCATGCGAGACTTTTGATTCGTCCCGTAAGAGAAACATCTTCATACGATCATTTTCTTTGATATGTGCTACTGTTCATTCTCACGTCACGTGTACACCGTCGTTGAAACAATCATCGGTAGAACTTAAAACGTTTTGTGATCTAGTTGCTTCGTGGCCGATGATGTCCGATAAATTGTATCTGTCAAATTCCTCGGTGAAATTTGAAAATTTTTTTCCCGTTTTGATTCTACTGTAATATCGTTCCCAACGTTGAAAGGAAAAAGAATATTCAGAGACGATAAATTGCCTTTTACATTTTTTCGCGGTAACAAGTTTGGTTTCGACAGCAGGACGTAATAGATATCATGGAGGCAATATTTTACAAAATATTTCACGTTCTACCATCGTGTAACTCATCTCGTGTATGTACACTCACAACATACACTGGCAAATGAATGGCTACTCTTCTCTATATGTACATTTTAATACGATTACGGAATGTTTGTCCTCCTTACACGACATTTCACGTACTTTCTCTCCGAAAGGAATAAAAAATGCACCAACCACGTTCTTCTTCCTTTTTTTTTTTTTTTTTTTTTTTTGTTCTTTCTTTCTCTGTTCACACTCACGAGATATACATATACCACTTGTTGTGTATTTGTTCCTCTTGATTTCTTTGATCTGTTGGTCATCTCCGTTGTGACTCACTGAATGTTTTTACCACCCAGTTATATATTATATACTCTCTTCTCGTTCTTGTACATCTCAGACACGTTCTTGTCCATCACGACTTACCGCTATCATGGCCACCCGTCGTAATCGATGCACGAGCAGCGGGACGGTCCGAAAGTCGTCAAGTCGCGTCAAGGCGAGCCGATCCCAGGCCCAAGGGAGGACTTTGCGACTGTTTGGCACCGACCTGATGCGACATGCGATAATACGACGTCGTTCTCCTCGCGTAATCTACTGTCTTATCCTCTACCGTTTATACCTCTTGTGTTTTGTCCATCGTGAGTGATAGCAAGCCGAGTTTCTTACGCTGTCATCAATTTTATGGCGATTACACTTCCATAAGACTATCAACACCAATGCTCGATGATTGATTAATAACAATGAGATCAAAGTTAAGACGCTAGACAAGATAATGAGGCCCTTTGAAAATAAACTTCTCTCCTGATTTTTCAACAAAGAAAGCGCAGAGATCGGCTTGCAATCACTCGAGGGATTCATCGTACATATAGCCACGTACACTCGCCGAAATGCGTATCCACGAATCGCCGATCACCTCCAAACACGCTCACATCATCATCGATCCAAAAAAAAAAAAAAAAGAAAAAACAAAACAGAAAAAAACACGAAACCTCTCAGCACTTATTTTTCCACTAACTCAGTAGCTTCACTTGCGCAGAGATCGAATTTCACCGAGTTGTCTCATCGCACCAAAGAATATACCATTAATCATCCATCGATACGAGTCGTGGATACGCATCGTGCTCATCTTGTCCATGCGACGTGGCCGCGTTTCGAAAGTTATCCTCTGATCGGTAGAAGCTCGCGCCGCGATCGGATAGACTCCGAAACGACGATGCTTCGATCCGACTTTTGTCCGGTGCTTTTAACGTGCGCGACCTGGATACCCCTCGGGGTTTAAACGATCGGCGAACAATAGCAGAGAGAATAGGAAGCGAAGAACGAAAGGGAAAGAGAGTCGTCGAAACGCCGCGCGCAGAAATATGGACAACGATGTCGGCCGTACGTCGCGGTGGGCGAAAGAACTGCGGCGGCGCCCGGCGTTCGCACAAGAGGATCTTTCTATCGTGGAACAAAAAAAAAAAAAAAAAA